CATTCTGACTGTCTCTGGTCGGTCTGACTGGCTATCGGAAATGAGTTGAAGACTCAATCGGTCGCGAGGCAAGCTGAGCTCATCGCGGCGATCCCCGATCAAGCTCTCTGTGGGGCATTGAGCAAAGCATGCGTGTGAAGTGGCATCGGAGATTTGTGTCATGCAATAACAAGCTGCTCGGGGTTTGTGTTGGTAAAGCTTCCGCCGCAACCCAACTCTAGTCCTACGAGGTACTGTATGGATGTGGCTCATCTACTCCTCTAAGTCTAATATGTCCAAGCCCGCCTGCTGTTAAGTATTCTATCGGACTTCTACATTCCCGATAGCATGTGAACACTGCAGTTTCTCCTCATACCACCCTTGCTAGCTTGGGTGAACTAGTTCCTGCAGCAGCTTCGTCATTCCCCTTCTCAGCCAAGCCCTAGGCAAAAAGCTTCCCCGGAATAAACTTCTCTCCTTTGGTCTCCTGCGGCAGTTCTATCCCAATCGACGACCATCAAACTCGTTCATTCGGTGGGAACTCATTCCAGGCACCAGCAACCAGCAACCAGCGCATCCGAGAGATCCGCAACTTCTGGGTCAGCTCTTGTTCTGCCGGCTCCACCAGTGCCGTCATCGCACGCGAGACCCGCCCCGGATGCTTTGCTGAAGCCGGTATAGTCCATCCCCGCTCGGGCGTGATGCCCAACGGTCACTGGAGGAGAGGTGCAGGCGGGATGTTGTTGCATGAATCAAGCCCGGGGTTTGACTTTCATCCGCTCGTTTCCTACTGGCGGGTTCGCCCTCTCCATCGAAGCCACGGATCCTTCGATCCGGATCCTGGCAAAACACAGAGGAAGCAGAGCTTGGTTATAGTAGAAATTATTAATACAAAGCTGATCTGCCCGATTTTCCAAACCTTCCCTCTCTATCCCTCTCACCTCGCACCCCCGTTGATCTTCCCTCCCGCCATGTACATCCCCTCGGTGCTGCTTCTGGCCGCGAGCCTGTTCCATGGCGCAACGGCGCTGCCCACGCCCGGCTCCTCGCCCATCCCGCCCAGCCAGGATCCCTGGTACAGCGCGCCCGAGGGCTTCGAGGAGGCAGATCCCGGTGCCATCCTGCGCGTGCGGCCCGCGCCCGGCAACTTGACTGTGGTAGTGGGCAATGCCTCGGCGGCTTACAACATCCTCTACCGCACTACAGACAGTCAATACAAGCCTTCGTGGGCTGTGACTACCCTGCTAGTGCCCACCGAGGCCGCCTCCGCCGCCATCAACCAGAGCGTCTTGCTCTCCTACCAGATCGCGTACGATTCGTTCGACGTCAACGCCAGTCCCAGCTACGCCATGTACACTAGCCCGCCCTCCGATATTATCCTCGCCCTGCAGCAGGGCTGGTTCGTCAACGTCCCCGATTACGAGGGCCCCAACGCCTCTTTCACTGCCGGTGTGCAGTCCGGCCATGCCACCCTTGACTCGGTCCGCAGCGTGCTCGCCTCCGGATTCGGCTTGAACCAGGATGCCAAGTACGCTCTTTGGGGATACTCTGGCGGTGCCTTGGCTAGCGAATGGGCTGCTGAGCTGCAGATGCAATACGCTCCGGAGTTGAACATTGCCGGTCTAGCCGTGGGTGGACTCACTCCCAACGTTACCAGTGTCATGAACACGGTGACCTCGACCATCAGCGCAGGACTCATCCCCGCCGCCGCGCTGGGTCTGTCGAGCCAGCATCCTGAAACGTACGAGTTCATCCTCAGCCAGCTGAAGACGACGGGACCCTACAACCGCACGGGATTCCTGGCCGCCAAGGACCTGACCCTGTCCGAAGCGGAGGTCTTCTATGCCTTCCAGAACATCTTCGATTATTTCGTCAACGGATCGGCCACGTTCCAGGCGCAAGTGGTGCAGAAGGCACTCAACCAGGACGGATACATGGGCTACCATGGGTTCCCGCAGATGCCGGTGCTCGCGTACAAGGCCATTCACGACGAGATCAGTCCCATCCAGGACACGGATCGCGTGATCAAGCGGTACTGTGGACTGGGATTGAACATCTTGTATGAGCGGAACACCATCGGTGGACACTCCGCAGAGCAGGTGAATGGTAACGCCCGGGCGTGGGACTGGTTGACGAGCATTTTCGAGGGAACGTATGCGCAGCAGTACAAGACCGAGGGGTGCACGATCCGCAATGTCACCCTGAACACGACTTCCTCTGTTTACTAGAGGGTGACTGGTGTAATGTGAATGATGTTGTTAATGGTTGTGTATGGACAGCCGGCTCTATTGTACAGTAATGGGCTAATGAATGTGGCTTCATGAACATGGTACGAACGATTATGTTATGTACATAGTGTGGATGTGGTAATGATGATAAATCTATGATCTATGTTCCTGCTATGCTATAAATTACACCATTCAAGGACTAACTACTGACACATCTGCTTAGAAGAGACCAGAGTCGGCCTTGATCAGATCGGAGGCCCGCTCAGCCACCGCGTACAAGGTACTGACCAGGTGGCCGCACACCTGGAAGGGAAGGACGGATGCATCCACCACGCGAACATTGCTGGTGCCGTACACCGTCAAGCGGTCGCTGACCACGCCGCCCTTGTCCTTGGGCATCATGGCAGCAGTGCCGACCGGGTGGAAGTTCGAGCGGTCTGTGAATGGCGATTAGCATGCATACATCAGTATAGTCTGGAAGACTGGAATAAACTTACATTGTGTGAGCAACCACGCCTTCCAGTCCTCCTCGGAGCCGTTGGCAGCCACGGCCTCAAAGCCAGGGTTGGTCTCCTCGGTAACAAGGTTGGCCAAGGGAGCAGCCTGGAAGGTCTTGCGGACGTACTTGGCCACCGCAATCTGACTGGTAAGATCCCAATCGAACTTGTAGTAGTTGGGGTTGATGATCGGCTTGGCAGTAGGATCGGCGGATCCAATGTGGACATATCCACGAGCAAAGGGCATCAGGGCCCAATACTGGGCGCTAATACTGCTGGTGCTACCGGGGTAGTACAAGATCTCCGCGATCGTGATCTTATCCTTGAAGATCAGGTCATACTGCAGCTGGAAGAGAGCTTCCAGATCCTCAGCCTTCATGGTGCCACTGCTCACCTTGGCGGTTTCGTTGGCCCATTGCTTGAGCTGGCGGCGGACGGATTGTGCGACCGCCAAGGTGTCGTTGCCAAGAACATCATAGATGTTGGGATAAACCACGGTCTTGGTGCCCGTCAGACCAGGGGTGGTGGAAGCACCTAGCCCCGCGTTGGTCTGGTCCTGAAGGTTCTCACCGACGGTGGGAAGATCGACACGGACAGAGATGTTGTACCTCTCCAGGATATCGCGGTTACCGATACCGGAGAGTTCCAGGATACCGGGCGACTTCAATGAACCGGCAGAAATGATGACCTCCTGGCTTGCTCCGATGACACTGATGGTGCCATTGGAAGAGGTAATCTCGACACCAGCAGCAGTGGCATTACCCTGGGATCCTCCATTCTTCCAGACCAGACGGTTGACGAAAGTATCAAGCATCAGGTGCAAGTTAGGGCGGGACGCAATGGGCCAATAGTATGCACGGGCGGCGTCTTCACGCACATATGCGGTGTAATCAATGGTGGAAGGGTAGACGTTGAAGCCACGCATCTTGCCGCCGTTGACATCCTCAGTCCATGGAACACCGAGTCCCTGGAAGGTGGCATTCAGGGTGTTGGTGAGGTTGTTGGCGGGAATGTCGGGCCAGGCTACGGACAGCGGACCCTCCTCGCCGTTGGCATTGGGGTCGTAGGTGGCTCCTCTGGCACGCTGGCTGGCGGTGGGAACAGTCAAGTTCTCACTCTTCCGATAGTAGGGGAACAGGCTGTCCCAGGTCCATCCCTCGTTACCGATGGTCTGCCATGCGTCAACCTGGACGTCTTCGGCCCGAGTGTACGCCATTCCTGTGAATACGTTAGTGCTTGGTTCCATTCAATCACACGTATGACATACCGTTGATGGCACTCGTGCCCGAAAGCGCCTTTCCAGCACGCAGCACCTGGGGGGCGTTGCCCGCATAGGACTGGTTGGTTGTCTCGTACTGCCAGTCGATGTCTGTACCGAAGGCCAGTCCGTAGCCGTCGACATCCGTGACGTTGGAGTTGTTGAGAACTGAACCACCGGCTTCGATGATGAGGACCGACACATTGGGGTTCTCCGACAGGCGGTTGGCAACCACGAGACCGCTGGTACCTCCACCAACGACGATGTAATCATACTGGGAACCAGAGTGACGGGTAGAAGGCGCTGCAAGGGCCGTTGACAGCGCACCCAAAAGGGTCAAGCTTCGAAGCATCTTGGTGGCCATGATCACTCCGGAATGTTTGAACGGTGATGATAGCTTCAAGACCTTGCTCACTGGGCTTTTATACCTCTCATGAAGCTGCATCCGTTCTGCAATGGCCCGTATCCAGTTGCTTCATAATCCTCCGTCAGCAGGATGATATCCACTTCCCGAGGGGACCAGTGACCTCGTTGGATCGTCTGTATATTGCTCGTGATCCTGGGCCCATATAAACTTACCGTGCCGTGATCGGACAGGATCCACCGCCAGATTTCGGCATGCCGGGTCAGGCATCGGCCTGAGACATCGCCAGACACTAGGCGCCTCCTAGCCGCAAATCCTGGCTGGCCAGAAACTCCCTGACTGATATCTGCAAGGCCGCCACGCAGGGAGACGCATGACACTCGAAGCGTTGCTGATCCGTGTTCGCGGGATTGACACTTAGGTTAATGATATTCATGCGACGCCGTTGCAATATTCGCATCGGTTCCCGGAATGGCAGTGAGGACCCTGAACGGGTCAGATTTCATTGTTGGGCTCGGACTGAACGGGTCTTCCCGCTTCAATTCCCGGCCGTCAAAATTTGCGCAACGGCGATTTCCCTTCCGTCACATCATTGATAGTGAAGGTTTCGTGAGGAATCCATAGTGCCTGACTAAATGTTTGTCATCTGGTTATCGGATCCACATTCCCTGTCGATCGGATTCATTTCGGCGTAATCAGATCCCAAGCAGCGCACCAAGTGGGGTGGGTGAGTGATTTCTCAGCCTGTCTTTAACTTCGGCCCTGACTATCGCATTGCTTGGCGAGAATATGGCCGCCACAGTGCAAGAAGTGAGGTGAATGGCCTAATCTCGGTGAGAGAAAACAGCTATTATGGCATTAATAGAGGCCTTTGGGCGGGTGTAATTCCGCGTCTAGCTTACATCGACAAAGGTTCTAGAAGTCCCAGCACTTTGCTTTCTGTGGCCCCGTGGGTGACCGTCTGCTTTCAATCGCCATGGGTGCCGGCCAGGAAGTATTTCAAAAGAGTGAAAGCCGATGCTGGCCATCTATATCCCTCTTGTAGGCTGTGGTCGATTCACAGAATAGAAGAAGCAGGCCAGGGCCTGTCTGTTGGATCCCGCTGGTAGCATCCCTTGATGGCATCAGAATGCCTCCGTCCACCGCAGATGACATGAGAAGATAAATGGCCCTTACAGCGCCCCTCCTCACCGAGGTGGTTAGATAGGCTGCCAGTACCCGCGTAACCAGCAGCCAGGCAGGCATGTAGCATAGCATGATGTTCGGTGTGAGATCTCCTACTATGCAAGGAGCTGTGTCACGCCGATAGCATCCGTGCCTGAGATCGATATTTTCTTTTCCTCTGCCTCTTACTTAACGCCAAGGCTTCACTGTTGTGGCGCACAACGGATAATTACCTAGCTTGCCTGTCGACCATCTCCATTTGCCCGATAAGAATATGTGGAGCTTCCCCTGAGACGGTTCCAACTAGCTTCACACTAATTCTGGATACAGTATCGGTGCTCATGCAGCTATCCTTGTCCGCCATAACAATGGCTTGTGACTCGCCATTTGCTGCTCATATGACCGTCAAGGGGACAGTAAAGGATTCAGTCATGTGCTGCCTTGAGGAGCTCTTCGACACTTTGCTGCTCGCGCCGTTTGGACCGCATGCCTTGCTATATCTGCCGTGTATCGCCACGTCAGTTCAAGGAGTAAGGAGTCCATGAAACTACGCCGCAGTGTTCTGCATCATGACCATCGAGGAATGTGCCCCGCTACCCACCTTTGACATTACACCCGCGGCGATTCTAGACCATGCCAATCAGGTTATCCGCCGGGTCCAGCTGGACGTCAATCATTTAATCGACACAGTGGTAATTGGGGATGCCACGGTTGATACTCTAGTGCGTCCACTAGGCAACATAGACAATGAGTTCAAGTATCACATTCAGTACATTGCCCTATTCCAATCAGTCGCGCCGTCCCCGGATCTGCGCAAAGCATCGTCAGAGGCAGTAAACCTGGTTAATCAAGCTTACCTAGCACTGTTCCAAAATGAGCGCCTATTCTATCTGGTCGACACCGTGTATAGCAAGGTCAATGATGACTATGAAGATGGCGAGTCCATACGTCTCCTGTCGAGATTCCATCGCATGTTTGTCGATAATGGCCTCCGTCTGGCTGGGGCAGATCGCGATCGGTTTCAGCACATCGTGAAGCGGTTGCTTGAATTGCGTGTCCAGTTCATGGACACCATTGCCACCGACCCGGGGAGTCTGTGGATAGCGACAGATGAGTTGAAGGGCCTCGATGAGGGCATGCTGAAGAACCTCGAACGGGGTCCTTCGGGGACTAGTCGTATTCGTTTGGATCGGCCGACAGTCAGTATGATTCTGGGAAAATGCAGCGTGGCTCAAATCCGGCGAGATGTTTTCCTCGGTAGTCAGTCAATCTACTCTCAAAATGTCAAAATATTCCAAGATACTATCACTCTGCGACATGAAGCTGCCCGACTACTCGGGTTCCCGTCGTTCGCAGCACAACAACTACTGCATCAGCTGGTTAAATCCCCCGGCGCTGTCACAGACCTCCTGGAGGACCTCGAGCATAGATTGCAGCCACTTGCGATCCGCGAGTTACAAGGCTTACGGACATTCGCTGGTCTAGAATCACCGCTTTATCTGTGGGATTTCGACTACTATCACCGCCGCATGCTGCAAGAACAGTATTCTGTCAGCCATGATTTAATCTCCGAGTATTTCCCAGCTGAACATACAATTCAGCGGATGCTGGGCATCTTCGAAAGGCTATTCGGATTATCCATTAGGGAAGTTACAGAGAAGACCGACCGGAATGTGTGGCACTCTGATGTCAGGATATTCGCAGTACGCGACAGACAAGAGTCTTCAGGCTCCTTCCTAGGCTACCTGTATACGGATATCTACCCTCGGCCAGGGAAATACAACCATGCCGCCAATTTTAACATCCATCCTGTAGGTCTACTATGTTGCAAAAGACCCAAGACGTTACTAAAAAATGGTTGCAGGGATTTCGAAGGAAAGATGGGAGTCAATCTCCCGTCGCCACGGCTCTTGTGTGCAATGTATCGCCAGCTACAGCCGACCGACCGGCGCTTCTGCAGCACAGGGAAGTCATCACGCTGTTCCATGAACTAGGACACGGTCGGTCGCATTGATTCCCTTTACCGTTCTCTCCTTGCTAATACGGCCTATAGGAATGCATGATCTCCTAGGAAGAGCCAAGCACGCTCTATTTTCCGGCCATCGAACTGTGCGAGACTTCGTCGAGGCACCCAGTCAGCTGCTGGAATACTGGTGCTGGGTACCAGAGTGTTTGCAACAGCTCAGTTGCCATTACACGTACCTGCCGGAGTATTGTGAGCGAACTTTGGCTGAGGGGACTGTGAAAGATGCCAGCCGACCACCGAGAGAGATACCCGAGGACCTAGTCAAGGGACTTGCTGCTGTCAAACAAGTCAATCAGGGTATCCTGACCCTGCGACAGGTTGCCTTTAGTGCATTCGATATGGAAATCCATGGCGAGCACGGCCAGGAAATCTCGGAAGGCAATGGCATTGCCGAGCGATACAATTCGTTACTACAAGAAATGACCCTCCTCCGGGGCCCTGAGGAAGTCAACTGGGGCCATGGATATGCCACGAGCCAACATTACATGTGGGGCCAAGAGGCCAACTACTTTTCATACCTCTAGTAAGTGTAGTGTCAATGGGTGTCTGTTTCTCGTTCTTACCTCGACTAGCACACGGACCTTGGCAGCGGACATTTGGACCTCCAACTTTCGTGACGATCCCATGAGTGCGGAAGCTGGACTCCGCTATCGACAAATGATACTCGCCCACGGCGGTAGTAGAGACGAGTTGGAGATGCTCAGGGAGTTCCTGGGACGATCTCCGTCTCCGGAAGCATATCTCGGGGATCTAGGGGTCGGGGAAAGCATAGCTACTGAGTCATGACCGGCGGTGCCTAAAGGCTTGACGAACCGTGGTTACAATCCATGCCGTGAAGATCACACGCGCATCAGCGGAGCGCCCCCGAGTCATAATGATGCTCCTTCATTGGCCACCATCTCGTGTTGGGAGTGAACGGTGTAAGACGGCGGCTCAGCCAGAAGTCTCCGCGGTCGCACGGAGACTTACGGAGGGCGGCGCTGCTTAAAGAATGTACATAAAGACCGAAGGGGGATGATGGTGCTTTGAACAATCATCGCACATCACAATGTCAAGCAATCAGTACTAATATCGTCTCTTAAATTAATGTCCATAAATCAAACATGCAACAACAACAACAGCCAACAGTAGCCTTCTTCGGAGCGACGGGGGGATGTGCCAATGCGTGTCTGGCTCTTGCCCTACAAGCCGGCGTTCATTGTTCCGCCCGTATGTGTTGTTTTTCCGTTTCCGATACAAACACCTCAAACTGATCCTGATCAATACTGAATCACAGTGGCTCGCACGCCCTCCAAGCTCCACAATTTGCTCCAGGAGCTCAGTGTCTCCGAGTCCGCCATTGCCAACTACCTAACGGTCACGGAAGGTGATATCTACGATCACCAAGCTGTTCAAAAGACCCTCTATGTTGATGGCCGCCCCGTTGATTTGATCATCTCCGGCCTCGGCGGCAAGCCACGCTTCGAGTATGGCATCAAAGCCACCCTAGACAACCCAACCATTTGCCAAGATGGCATCCAGACTATCATTTCTGCCGCTCGATCGTGTCCCCAGAAGCCCCGCATCGTGATCATCAGCACCACCGGCCTCAGCAACACGCGCGACGTGCCACTCATGATGCTGCCCCTGTACCATTGGCTGCTCAAGGTACCACACGCGGATAAGAAGGTGATGGAGGACCTTGTTGTGGCCGAGATGCAGAAGCCGGAGGAGGAACGCGCCATCGACGGGTATCTCTTCGTACGGCCCTCCTTGTTAGTGAACGGCGATGGCGATGGTCTGTCGAAGATCAGGACCGGCACCGACGAGAACCCCGCGGTGGGCTATTGTATTAGTCGTCGGGACGTGGGTCTCTGGATCTTCGAGAGGGTAATTCATCAGGCATCGCTTGCGGACTGTCAGTATTGGGGGCAGAAGGTGTCCCTGACGGCCTAGGCAGCTGCGTGGAATATTTCGATATAGGTTGATCACTTGGAGCTCCTGGGTAATATACTGGGTTCTACGGAGTACTGTGGACAATTTTCTGCACTACTTAACGTATTGTTTGGGCTACTCAATGTTGACGCTATTATAATTAACTTTGTTTGACTTTCGAGACTATGTGGCATGTCGAATATCTACATCGTAACGTAGACACGGTCGGAAACATACAGTGTTTACTCGCATAACATGCGATCAGCCGTTTCAATTCAAAGCCTATACTCGTTAACCTTATCCTAATCAGGAGACTGGCGTCTAAGTAGCCTGCTTGCAGCTATCCAGTTAGTGCTGGATTTCACTGCCAGCCCGACTATTCAGACACGGTAATATCACGTGATTATTACAGACTTGTCCCCTCGGGCCAATGACATCATTGCATTCTGGTCTACTTAGTCATAAACTACCCGATTAGGAAACACATCAACATCTCTCCCATGAAGTAGAAAGTCATTGGACTGGAGATGGGTTATAATGACTCTGGGGAACCTAAACAATCGCATACTGTATCTATTACCTGCATACCGGTTGCATGACTATTCCTAATGATGTTTTCCGTTGATTGAATAGTACTATGCCACTAGTACCTTTTGTGAGCACTAGTAGTCTCGGGATATATATCTATATATACTACCTGTTGAAGTACCTAACGACTTAATTTGATCGGACATAACAAGATTTGTATAAACAGCCCTTTATCTTACTAAAGGATATGCCATACCACTTTTACAATAGAATACAAAAATATGTTACGAACCGACAACATCCTGTAGTAGCCTGCGCTTCGTCACTACCTTTTGAGACGAGTTGATGGGATACTTTCAGAACGTGCTGGCTCCAACACATCTTCCCTTGAATTTGGAACCAACATACATTGGGTGGGACCACACTTCTGCACCCCAACAGACGAGTCCAGTCACTCAATCGCGGATTCACGGCACCGATATCCGGTCGTCATACCTATTCTGAGTGGGCTATATCTTGCTTCTTCGAGTCTACGCTGATGAGGAGCGCCACAATTACCATCAAGTATGGGACATTACTCTGAATGCCCAGGTCTACCCCTTCCAATAAAACATCTCTCCATCAAGGAATGATTGGTCTTATAAACTCTCATGGCGAAGGCTAGACGAAGAACATCGGAGTCAACTCCAGAACCTTGCCTGCTTTATGCTGGAGCCTGTCGTTCTGGAAGACGATTCTTAGAGAGCATGTAGGCTTCTTACCACCCAAAAAGTGATTAAAACTGCCACTACCTACTTGAGATCTCGGCAATTCTTCATTCCACTAATAGATCAGCACGCATACTTCCTTCAGTGCCGGGGAGGTATTGCGCCTGATGACAGGCACATGATCTTCAAACACAATGTCGTCGCAGAGGTCGATCATTGCTCATCTCAGCATCGCTTCTAAGTCATAACACAGGGGAACCGAACTATGGAAGGGCTTGATGCTGGAAAGACCGGCGATCCCCGACTACCTACCGCTAAGGAACACCAGCCGGGCTATATCGTATATGACGCACAGGATCAGAGCCAACTCAATAGGTCTTGGTGTGAATTCTTCAAGAAGACGGGCCTTGGTACGAAGTAGAAAGGCTAAGCTTCGCGTATTCATGGCAGTCATCTTCACACGCGGATCCGCAGCGTGTTTACGATCGAGCACAGCCGACTCTTGGTATGGAATGCGAAGATACTTAAAAGCGACCAGGATCTTCCATCTTTTATCCCGCACTATCGAACTCAATGGCTTGATGTGTTGATCACAGCCCTGGACAGTAAATCTAGACACGAGTGGCTGACAAAGTTGTGAGGCACCGCAGAGCCTCGGAGGTCACCAGGCTTTGCAAAAACCATGATCCATAGTCTGGCGTCACCAAAATTGCCAAAGCAAGGGATGGGAACATAGGACTAATTACTGGCGAGGAATGTAAGCCATAGAGTGCTCCGTTCCTTGATCTGTTTGTATGTGTTTGAAGTAATTAGAAGTCGAGATATAAACAAGGCTCCCTGTGCTGTCTCCCACGAATTTATTGAAATATCAAATCTCACTCTACCTGTATACACAAGCAAGTCATTCTTTACGTTAGTCACGAACCTCATAATGAAGACTTACGGTATCTGGAGCAAACTAGCCACCCTTGGCTCATTCACTCTCTCATCAGCGAAGACCCTCAACTTCGTCGCACACGAGGATGACGATCTCCTCTTCCTGAGCCCGGACCTGATCCGAGACATTCTTTCTGGCGAGCCCATTCGTACCGTGTTCCTGACTGCAGGAGATGCTGGAATGGGATCTGACTACTGGAACAGCCGTGAGGATGGCTCGCGGGCAGCTTATGCGCGCATGGCAGTGGCGAGCAACAACTGGGACGAAGACGTGATCTACGTCGGAGACAAGACCATCAGCCTCTACACGCTGCAAGACGACGATGATATTTCCCTGGCATTCATGCACTTGCCGGATGGCAACATGGACGGAACTGGCTTCGGCGGCACCGACCAGAACGACAGCTTGCAGAAGCTGTGGGACGGCGACATTGATGTGATCCGGACTATTGACGGCTCGGGTGTTCAGTACACGAGAGACGAGCTGCTTGATACCATTGCCGCTCTGATTGACGACTTTGACCCCGACGAGGTCAAGACGGGTGACTATGTCAACGACTTTGGCGACGGCGACCACAGCGATCATTACGCCACCGGTTACTTCGTCGACAATGCATTGCAGCAGGCCGACAGCGATGCTGATCTGACCGGATACTACGGGTATCCGATCCAGAACATGGATGTCAACTTGGACGATTCGGACATTGAAGACAAGACGAACATTTTTTACGAATATGCTGGTTATGATACTGCCACCTGCGCCACTGATGATGCTTGCTCGAGTCGGCCTGAGTCTGCTTGGCTGCAGCGTGAGTACGAGGTCTAGGAAAGCTTCTCTTAAGCTGGTCTTGGGGACGATTTGGCCATTTACTAGGCTGTGAGACACTGGGTGTTTTATTCTCTGCCATCTTGTACTTTAGTTACGACGCTTTGGAATGTTATGTGATAACTTGATCGGTGTATTTAGAAGAGAGCATTATACGTGCCATGGGCACAGATTGTAGGCCATGCGTTATGTTCATGACTGTATTAGGTGCTGTACAAGTTAGCCCACTACTCCATGATAGCGCGGAATGCACTGAACGATCGTGGATGGATCGCGATGTTTGTTTACTTCCTATTGAGGGTCATGCATTCGAAAAGTCGACGTTGCTCTGCAACTAGAGCATACATTCCAAGCACCAGCGGAGGAATGTTCCCATTGTAGGCAGTATCACGAGGGAAGCTTCTGTTCTGGTTCCTGAAGGAGGTTGAAGCTCATTCCGCAGGCGAAACCTAAAGCTCCACGGCATGTATGCCTACCAATGAGAGCTAAATCAGTGTAGTTGATTCAACACCGTGCTCATACTAAGAATGTTATTGTACGAACTACTCCTTTCCCCCTTTCTAGCATTTTTCTGGGCACTAATCACTCGATCTGTACCGTGTGATAATACCAGTTTACTGATGAGAACATACTCGAAGTATTCGACTTGATGCGGTGGTGATTGGTGGTATTGATGGAGACGTCGACATGCATAAATCCCTGAATATTTCCAGGGTTACTAGAACTCCCGAAATTACAAATGTATGGAATAGCCGGTACTTCGCAGCAAATTCCATTGACAATTGATCTGTTATCTACTACTGAATTCCCTATTCAAGATTATACCCACACTACGCAGTAACCTTCTTCCAGCTCTCCCTAGCCTTCAACCCCTC